ATAGTTTCATACCATAGGACAGAATTCTCCCCAAACTCCTCCCTATAGATAGCTTCATCAATCAGCAATAACCAACCCAAAAGAGTTGCCAAAATGATAGTTTTATTATCCAAAATATTCATGGCTTTATCTTGTGGTGGTTGTTCTCCAACCTAGTCTATATTGTCACCAGTTATTGGTAAAGATGTGAAAATTGACTAAAACACGATATTTTCATTAAAATGTATCACAGAATTTAATTTGGCCTCTGTACATGGCAGACAGGAGAACACAATTGTAACTCTCTATATATGGCAGGAGGAAGTTCATATAACAAAGTAAACCCCAGGAATCTAGCAATTTAGCCTTCACAATTTTAATTATTCTGGGTCCAGAAAATCTAGCAATGTGTCACATTGCTGAAGGGAAACTTTAACTGTCCCCAGGGTGATATTGTGGTATAAGGAAACACATTGCATAATGGTAAGACAGGCTGATCTCTCAGCATTCTTCTGGCTTCAAAACACAACCTTATTATTCTTTATTCTTAGTCACCTTTGTAAGATGGTTCATAAATTAATAGGCATTTGGAGTTTCTAAATTGAAAAATGACACTATAAAAAAAATCCAACTGCAAATGCTTATGATGGAAATGAAGAGAAATTGAAAAAGTCTAATAAGAACCTGTTAAATCTTAGCCTAGCTGCATATTATAGAAAAAATTATGTACTTTAATGCAATATTTACCAAACAGCACTCCAAAAAGGGGGGAAAAATGGAAAAGAAAGGAGGGATGATTACATTTCAAATACATTTGGGAGGCACGGTTTCAAACAAAGTTAATTTAATGTAGGACTCCCTGCATTTTGATAATGGCATCATAAATTCAACATGTTCAAAATAGACAGTTTGATTTCAGGGCTATATACCCCTTGACCTGTTTGAATCCTACTCTAACCCAGTTCAGTAAAAGGGTCCACCGTCGACCGTTTTAGTAAGCCAGAGATCTAGAAGTCATCCTTGATTCTCTGATTTTCTATATCCCACTACCAACCTATCAGCTCTATATCTAGAAAATATCACAAATTCATCCCCTTCTCTCTATCTCGACGGATATACTGTAATCTAGGCCACTATCCCCTCTGTCTGGGCTACCATATAGTCCCCTAACATCTTACAATACTGATCCTTGTTTCTGTACAATGCATTCTAATCACAACTGCAAAATTAAGTGCTAAAGTAGAAATTCTGTCACATCACGTCCCTACTTTGAAATCCTCTCATAGCTTCTGATCTTACTTGGTCACACAGGCTGCAGGGCCCTGTGCATTTGTCTTCTGCACACTATTGAACCCATCTCCTGCCACTCGCCGCCCCTTCTTGTGATCCTCACAAGCCCCAGCCTTTTCTCTTCTCTGGAATACACAAAACTTTCTTGACCTCGGGACTTGGCTCTTGTGTAGAGATTTTCACAGATCCTCACATTTCTGGCTCCTGTTAGTGACTCAGGACTCAGCTCTAATGTGTTTATTTCTGAGAGGCATGGCGGAGCATCCCCTGTCACATTGCTCTTTTTCCTCACATTGTCCTTATCACACTTCTGGCTGAAACTCTCTTGTTCATTCATTTATTTACTTGTTTATCATCTGTCTCCAAAACCCCCTCAGAGTACATGTTCCATGAGAACAGAGCTTGGTGGGCCTTTATCACCACAGTTTTCCCAGAGTCTAGTAGAGTCAGTCACATGTAGCTTCTTTGTACATCTTCAACAGTGAGTTCATTAGAAGACTCCAAGAAGAGGTTTGGAGTATTTCCATTTTCCCAAATTATTGGTAAGACTTTTCTGACTGAATGACAAGATGTTAATGATCTTTCAATAGGAACACAGGTTTAGAAAGAAAGCTTTGAAGTATTTTCAAATTTTGGAATCTGCAATGATTCTGGGGTATATCTCTTACAATGCTGAAAGTCTGTGATATACAGGGGTGGGTGGATGGTAGGGAGAGGGTTGATTTTCTCTGTTGTCTCCATCCTCAACCAAGTGGAAAGCAAACCTGAATGCAAGGGTTGAAGGATTCCCAGTTAAACATCAGGTAAAAACAAACAAAAAAGGAGTCCCTTCATTTCTTGTAGTACTTAGATAAATGGTTTTAAAAAAATATATTAAATAGATCATATGATGAATGGTTTTTATTTTTAAACATCTCAACATTTATACCTGAAATATAATGCATATGTCATTCTCGGAAATGCTTAAATATCTAAGACAGAACTCTTAATTTCCACTTCTCAAAAATCCTCCACTTTTTCCCAATTCAGTAAAATAATATTAGCATTTCTGAAAGGTCTTGGGGCGGATGTCCCTAAAAATAACACAATTAGTGATTTTTTTTTAATTCTAGGATATTAAACCGAAAAAAATGAAATAAAACAATATCCCACATTTGGCACTAAAAGACATTCTTTCTGTTGTCTAATGCTTTAAATTAAATTGACATATCTCTCTGGTTCTAACTTCTCAATTTTCCATTTTCCCCGTAACTTTGACTTATCACTCTGAAGGAATATTGGGTTTTCCTCTTTTTCCTCAGTTACTTTGTCAAATCGAGTCTTTCATAATGGTGCAGTTAATGTTTAATAAAAGGGACTTCTAGTTCTCAGTGTAAAATAGAACACCAAAAACATCCACTTGATATGTCTTCAGTTTCATTGCTATATCTTTTCTGTAACTAACTTTATAAACTGTATGTATCTAAAATACTTGTTTTGTTGATGTTTATGGTAATGATGAACCTCAAAAGGTCCCTGAAATGTCTAATGTTAACTCAATCTTGAACTTTCATCAAATCATAAAATGTATACATTATCAGAAAGGACTGAACAACTAATACTACAAATGTATGAATTTAAAATGTTTTATTTATTTATTTATTTATTTATTTATTTATTTATTTTACTAATGGTGATGAAAAGTCTTCTTTCAGGAAAAGCCAACGGAGCAAAACACTTCACAAATATTCTCATTTTTCCTAATCTCTTTTCAGCAAGGTCTTTTCTTATTCCTCACCGATAATACAACACCCTGCCAAATTATCTTCTCTCTGATTTCCACATTTGACTTGCTCATTCCTGACTCCACATCTTAGCTGGAAAGACTTATCCTCTCTTCTTTGCCAGTGAGTCTGTAACTGTTACATTCATTTAAAAAATTAAAAAAAAAAATCTACAAGTTTACCTCAAACCAGAATTCTCAAGGACATCACATATTCCTTTATTCTAGTCACTTAGCATTGAATCAGGTTGAAATCACCTAATTCATCTTTGTTTATGTGTTGCTTTCTGAATGTTTTCAAAAATTTGAATACCTGTACATTCTTTTGCCAATAGATGGTAAGGTGCAGGCATGAATCTTATTTTTTTAAATTCTTCTAAGAATGTCTAGGATAGATAGTAAGGGTTCATAATGCAAGCTCAATAAGTATTAATCTTGAAAGGCAAAGTTCTGAAATGAAAAATGCACTCATCTTCAAAGCCAAGCTAGAGAAGAAATGGATAATTTATAGCATTCCATTGATTCACTAGCCTTTTCTTGTTTGTCTAGCGAATAAGATTGTAGCAGGTACTTTTAATAAAGTGAAATGCTAAGATTACATGAATGGAATGATTAAATTGGCATTTTGTGATTTTTAATCTCACAAAGGGTTTATTAAGTACAGCCAGTTACCTATTAAACAATCTTCTTTTAAATAGCTACCTACAAGGCCTGAAATTAGGTTGACAGCACTTACACATATTCTGCCAAGCTTTTTCATTTCTTTAGATGGGTGGATAGGTTTTCACAGCAGTATTATCTTATGTTGGAACTTTGGATTTATGGTGAATTCTCTTTTACTGTAATGAAACTCAGAACCATGGAATGATATGGGAAAAAGTAGACAGTCATATATGAGTGCATTTATAACACTTATACTCTAGTTTATGCATTCTAAATTGAGTAAATATTTTTGCCCGCTTCCTTTGCATACTTGCATTTTGTGGCCTATGGGATTATGCCTTTGTGAATGCTGTCTCCTTTGTCTAAATTATCCAAATCTCACCATATTAATCTAACATAATCACCCTAAGTAGTTGTGATCCATCCTCTGAAAGCCTTCATGTGCCATGTTAGAATGTTACTGCTTTTAACCTTTTATTTACTTATTTGTGTGCATGATGTAATTCTCCTAAATTACAAGGTTTTTGAGGGTGGGATTCATATTCTTTTAATTTCTGTATTTCTTATAGCATCTATCACATTATTCCTCATTATTCTGCAAGGGTTGTCTGAAACTTCACTTTGTCAAAGAAGCCCAGGCCCTCCAAGCTCTTAGTGTCTTGAAATTATCCTTTGAAGCAATACTATATAATTAATTTATTTAACATGTAATTAGTTGCTTAATTCATTATAGGGGTTCCTTCTTTAAAACGTGAGCTCTATGAGTTATTGATCAGTTATTTATTTCGTTCACTGCTCTGTGTACTCCTCACCTAGCCCAAGGTCTTGCATTGTTGAGTAATCAATAAATATTTTGAAGCAATAAGTGTTTCAAAAGAGATACTGGAGGGGCACCTGGGTGGCTCAGTCATTAAGCATCTGCCTTCAGCTCATGTCATGATCTCAGGGTCCTGGGGTCGAGCCCTGCATGGGGCTCCCTGCTCGGCAGGAATCCTCTTCTCCCTCTCATACTACCCCTTCTTGTGTTCCTTCTCTCGCTGTGTCTCTCTGTCAAATAAATAAATGAAATATTAAAAAAAAAAAGAGAGAAAGATCCTGGATACATAAAAGGAAATAGAAGTGAGAAAATAAGGTAATAGTAGTTTGGGGGTAATAAAAACGTTTAATGCCAATATGACTTTCCATTGTCTTCACTTAGAGTCCCTTGGTTGGGACTCACCTCCAGGGTTAGTTTTATGTGGTACTTTCTGTACAGCCTTCTCTATTGGAACATCTCCTTACACTGTCTCTCTTTCTGCTTTGGCAGTTGATGGACAGTGGCAAGAGTGGAGTTCGTGGAGTCAGTGCTCAGTGACATGCTCGAATGGGACCCAGCAGAGAAGCCGGCAATGCACTGCAGCGGCTCATGGGGGCTCTGAATGCAGAGGGCCATGGGCGGAAAGCAGGGAGTGCTATAACCCTGAGTGCACAGGTGAGGCCTGATGACTACATTTAAAGAATGCCTGCCATTTATACAATGTGATAGAACCATGCCAGTCATGGAATAATCAGATAATTACATATTTCTCATAAATGAAGCCAATTGTACAAGAGCTCATTCTACTGTATGTCACACTAATAAAGCAACAAAATTCTGGAGATGCTTAGATCAAATATAGATTAAATTGATAAGGTTTAGCACTGAACTTGTACTTTTTACAAGTAAGTTTCAGTGTCTATTTGAAGATTCTGACAAACTTACATAAACTTAGGTTAATCACAGTGTTCTATATTTGACTAGCAAGTTAAATGTTTGAATAGGGTTTATTCATAGTGGTAGATTAATAAAAATTGAGCAAACAGTAATGGTCCTCAGATTTTGAACTTCTTAAAACAGTTGCAGTAGGGCTACTGCCATTGACCATGACACATTTCTTTCAGCCAACGGTCAGTGGAATCAGTGGGGTCATTGGAGCGGATGTTCCAAGTCCTGTGATGGTGGCTGGGAAAGGCGAATGAGGACGTGTCAAGGTGTAGCAGTAACAGGCCAGCAATGTGAAGGCACCGGCGAAGAAGTTAGAAGATGCAGTGAGCAGCGATGTCCTGGTGAGAACGAACTGACGTGATCTCAATGGAAACATGTTGTTACCTGAAAAAAAAAAAAAAGGATTAGAACTCTCATCATGAAGGGCAGTACTTCCTCCATTGGAGGACTGCTAATGATAAGCAGCAATTTACTTTTTCCATAATGTATGGGGTTTCCTCTGTTTATGTGTCGTAGACGATTTCTTCCATGGGTTTTTTTAAGGTATTTGCTGGAAAATCACATTGAAAAATGTGATAATACAAAGGAAGCGACATTGAACAATAACATGGCTAGATAAGATTTAAATTGGCTGGGGGTACTTTTTTTTCACTATGTTCATGAAATATTTGTTTACTGAGAATACAAAAACAGTTGCCTTTTATTACTTATGGTGGAAATAGAAAGACATAAGTGTTAGATAGCTAAGTGAGAAAATAAAGAGATGATGTTGAAATTAAGAAACTTTTAAATTCTGCTGTTAGTCTGTCTCCGTGTAGGACTTTGGACATCCCCATTCCCTTGCCCTTGGGCCATTTTCTATTATGAGGAACACATTTTGAAATGAAAACATAAGGTCTTAATTGGTAGTGAAAGAATGGAAATGTTGTTATGGTAAAGGATCTTACATATAAGCATAGAAAAAAAGGAAAGGTCAAAAATTGCCCAGATTATTGATCATATATTTAAAAAAAAATCATTTACAACAAAGATTCCTTCCAAATTGTTCATACATTCCGTAAAATATTATTGACATACTGAAGACTCAATAAATAAATGAAAATTAGGATTTTAGAATGATATCATAGGCAAAGTTGCTATAAGCATGCTAGAAAAATGATAGGATGAAAATTCTAAGTTTCACAGCTGGGTATAAAGTGCTGAACTTAAAGAATCTGAAGACCCTATTAGAGTCCATTTGCTGCTACTAATGGTTGGTGGGCAAGCTAGCTTATCTCTCTGGCTATCTGGTTCCAGTAGGTATGGAGAGAACAGCTGTTTGAGGTTCCTTTTCAGTTCAGAAAGTAGTAGATTTCTGTCTCTACCAAACATGAGTACATCAATTTAGAAAACAACAACAACAACACTAACAACAAAACAAGGCATTCTAAGAGATAACCCTGAGTCAAAACTTTGTATTTCCCCGTAGCCAGAATTCTAAAGACTTCTCACAGTCCAACACTAATATCAATAGAAACTGGACTCTAAGAGTAACAATATGTCAGTAGGATGTTTTTAGACCTTAGAAAAGATTAAAATTAGCTTTGTTAATTCTTAAGGCCACATAATTCAGAACAATAAGAAGGAACCAGCAAGTAGGATTTTTGTTGAGGAGACCTATACAAGAGAAGTACTGTGAAATTCCGCCTGTGGTGCAGAAGAAGTAAGAAGTGTTTAAACAAAAACATGTATATGACCAGGAAGAAGTTTCATTAGGACAGTAGTCATGGTTAAATAAGACCCTTCTAATATTTCAAGTTATGTAAACTACTGTGAGCATACCAAGGTTCATAACTGGTCTTTTAAAACTGTCTTTCATCTGCATATATAGAGTTAAAATGGTGTTGCTGCAATCAAATTTACAAAGATTGCCACCTGCTGTTTGGAAAACATTTTACATATCTATTTACTCAAAGGATATTATACCTTATATGCTAGGTTTGTTAGATGGCTTTCATGATTTAAGGCAGTTTGAAAAATTATCACATAAACCTATAATTTTTTATATTTTATACATATGTGATATTATATATTGGTGGTATTTTTTGTGGTATATATATATATATATATATTTGGTATTAACATTTTCCTTTTACTCTCTTCAATAATATGATTTGAAATCTCCTGAAATCACCAAGTATATAAATAATGTTTTCTAATTAAAATGAATTATTGAATCAGCTAAATAATTCACAAACTAGTGCTTATACAAGGATAAAATGAATTAATATATTACCAAGCTTTTGAAAATATCCTAAACTGGTACCTTTATACAAATCAGCATTATCCATCAAAAATTATATATGACAATTAATTTCAAAAATGCCTCTGCCTCTGGACAGAGTGTTTTCACCAAGATAAAGATTTCCTTTCTATTTATCCTTTATCTTTCCTGTGTGCAAGTATCTCATTCCCACCTTATTTTGTCAAGAGAGCAGGATTTATAAATAACACAGTTTTCCATAGTGGATTTGATTTATATATTGGCATTCCAACCTCTGCACAATTGCTTCTCTGTGGTCAATATGTATTATTTTTGTGTCCAGCATACTGGACTCTGAGAGTAATGACATGTCAGTAAGGTTTTTTTACAGTTTAAAAAATATCTAAAATTAGTTTTGTTAATTCTTGAGGCCATGTGAATTCAAAATAAGAAGCAATCCTAACTTCCACCATTATATTGCTCCAAATTTATATATTGACAATATAAGTTGAGAAAACTTTCAAATTTTCTCAATAGTTACTAAGGCATTTTTCTATTTTTGTCACTGACAAAACCTCAACAAATATTTCTTTTAAAACAATGTGTTTTTTTCCTAGTATTATTTTTCATACTGTTTATTCTTAACTTTTCTTCAGATTGCTGGAAACTACTAGTATTTATTTTTATGCTTCACTTAATTTGGATGCAAAACAAATTAATCAAGTTTGCCAAGAGATCCTCTCTTGTCAGGAAGGAGAAGTATAATATACGCACATCTTTGTCTGGATAATTAATGAAAATAATGATTAATCATCTGGATTTAATCAAAAGCTGTTACGATGTCTACTAAAAATAGAAAATGAAAAATATTTTCCCAAAGAGAATAAGATTCTTTTACTGGTAAATAGATAAAGTAAACATATGAAAAAGAATATCATTACCAAAAATATGATATTATTTTTGTCTTCGTAAGAAAAGGGAATCAGAGAGATGAAAAAATTATATATGTATATTTTAAAAACCGTTAGTTGAGGAATAGAGTAGCTACAGGGGAGACAATTAAGTTGCCTAATTTTTAAATTGGTCAAATTCACTAAATAACGATTTCATTGATCTCCATCTCATTGTGCATCCCCAGACTTTGAGGGTTAAAATAGTAGAAAGGTAATAGCTTCTCTGATTTTGTATTGCTACAGTGCGAAAACATACTATTTTTAGGGTTTGTGTTTTTTTCCCAATATTTCCCTGGTTAATATCCTTCAGAAGGCAGATGTTACTGATGAATTGGTCTACGTAAACTTGCAGGCTTCCCGGGAACTCCTTGCTCTGTTCCCAGGGGAGGGGCTGGCTATTGCTGGAGCTCCAATTCTTGGATCTGTTATTCTTTAGTCATTAAGAATAATGGCTAGTTGGGTTGTGCCATTCATGGGTAGATGTTAAACCTCATTTATACTTAAAATGTACTTTTGGAGTTACATTTGCTTTATTTGCAAACGGTGAGTGAAGGCTACATGTTGAGTGTGCTGAGAGAAACTTGGGAAATAAGAGAGCCATATCATAAATGTACACAGTAATAGCAACTTAGACCAGAGACGTAGCAATGATTGTGATATTTAACTCATAAGTATTCACACCAAAGGCAGTCAGCAATAATGTTTGTAATCCCAAACTTGTCTTGAACATTGTACTGCATTCATATTCAAATTTGTGTCCTGTAATATGGTGACTATAAGCCCCCTCCCCATGTAGGAGAAATGCCATTCTGGGAGTGACTATTCCTTATCTTTGTAAGGTTGCTGTCCAATGGGATTATGTTTTCTTTGGAGACCAAGAGAGATTTAATTTGGGTCTGAGTGATATTCTTTTAATTTAGCTTTGGTAGGAAGAATCACAAAGCTTGCTTATTCTGAGCTCCTGTCTTCTTTGGGCGCCTCTATTCATTGTCCAGACATGTGCTTTCAAATTTTAGCAGACCTAAGAATTACCCAGAGAGTTTGTTAAAACACAGATTCCTAAGCCAAACCCCCAGAGCTTCTGATTCAGTAGGTCCAGTATGGGCCTTCGAATTTGCATATCTAACAAACCCTCAGGTGATGTTGATGATACTGTAGATTACCCTTTGCAAATTACCCTTTGGGTTACACTGGGCTATAGTAAAGATAAGTGAGTAAATAAATACATACATACTAGGTGATAAAATTAACAAAAAAATGGAAAGCAGTTCTCCACCTCAGCTACACTGGTCAAAATTGTGATCTATCCTGAACAAGGTTGCAGAATTTTATTTTGTTTATTCCACTTTATAAATATTGAGGGATTGTTCCTGTAATCAATTAGTACAGGCAATCCAATTCAAGTCTCCGTAGCCAACTCGTTCTTCATCCCAAATAAGATCTCTTTATAGTTGTCACTTAAAAAAAGAACAGGGCTATTGACTAGTCCTTGTGGACAAAATGGAATGATTTACTCATTTTCAGATTTTCAGTTCTCCAATCCCTATTGTTCCTGTTCCATGGAGAGCAGAAGAAACAGTTTGGTATCAATGGAACACGTTTGCTATAAAGCTGTGCACTGGCAGGACACAGATCTTCTGTAATCCTGCCATCCCATCCCCAACAACTCTCTTCCTCAGCAGGAGGGCATTTTCACTGCCTCTTACCCTTCAAGGTTATTAGCTACTATCTACTTAACCAGGTATATAATATTTGGGGGGCAGGGGAGAGGGCAGGTGTCAGAGAGCAGGATGAGGTCTTAGCTCATCTTCAGTTCCCAGTTGGAGGAGTGCTGAATTAATCACCATCACTACATTTGTTTCTGATAGAGACAAGTTTAACCAGTTAGTAAGTCAGCCTTCTAAATTGTGTGGACCACTGTATTTTATTTTATTTTATTAAAGATTTTATTTATTTGAGGGAGAGAGAATGAGAAAGAAAGAGAGAGAGAGAGCACATGAGAGGGGGGAGGGTCAGAGGGAGAAGCAGACTCCCCGCCGAACAGGGAACCCAATGTGGGACTCGATCCCGGGACTCCAGAATATGACCTGAGCCGAAGGCAGGCGCTTAACCAACTGAGCCATCCTGAGCCATCCAGGCGCCCATG